TTGTAGGCATTTGTCCAAGGTCTATAAAGCTGGGAGAAATAGGCCTTACTAGTATAGTCTTTATAAACACTGTTAGAAATCTGTGCTTTTGCAACCTTTCTTACCCAATTCATGCTCTGGGCAACTGTGATTGCCAAAACCACCTGCATTGTTAGTTCTACACTCAAATCCAGGGACTCCAGCCTTCTGAGATTTTATTGTTTTTCGCATTTAAAAAATTAAGTAATAAAAGTTGGTAGTGGAATATAAAAATTAATAACATCAGCCCTGGCTGGTATGGCTCAGTTGGTTGGGCATCTTCCCATTCTCCAAAAAATTGCCAGTTCAATTCCCCATCAGAACACATAGCCAGTTGCAGGCTCGATCCCCCATAGGGGGTATTCAGGAGGCAGCTGGTGGATGACTCATTCTCACACTGATATTTCTCTCTCTCTCTAAAAATCAATAAAAAATATAGTTAGCCCAGCCAGTGTTGCTCAGTGGTTGAGCATTGACCAATGAACCAGGAGGTCACGGTTTGATTCCTGGTCAGGGCATATGCTGGGGTTGTGGGCTTAATCCCCAGTTCCTGGTTAGGGCACATGCCCGGATTTCAGGTTCGATCCCTAGTGGGGGGCGTGCAGGAGGCAGCCAAAGGATGATCCTCTCTGATCATTGATGTCTCTATCTTTCTGTCCCTCTCCCTTCCTCTCTGATATCAATAAAAAATATATTTAAAAAAGAAAACAAAGTATTTTTACAAAATTAATAATATTAATTTTTCTGTACTTGAAAGTAATTACTAGTATATGCTCACTGGAGAAAGCTAAGTAAAAAAGGGAAAAATAAAATCAGCTGTGTTGTGTTTGAACTTCAGAAAACTAATTAAGATTCTTAATAATTGACCCTGGACGGGTAGCTCATTTGGTAGACCAACATCTCAATATGCCAAAGTAGCAGGTTTGATTCCGGATCAGGGCACATACAATGACTGCATAAATAAGTGGGACAACCAATTGATATCTCTCTTTCAAATCAATTTTAAAAACCATGTATAAGATTCACAATAATTTCTTGATAACAGACACTATTCCCCCACCCCATACAGACTATTTAGGAAAATCCAGTAATATGAATAGATGAGGTGATACCCTCCCCACCCCCAACCCGCCACAGAGATTTAAAAAATACACACCCTCTTCCACCTTTAATTATCTAGAAAAGCCCAGCTGGCATAGCTCAGTAGTTGGGTGTCGACCTATGAATCAGGAGGTCACGGTTTGATTCATGGTCAGGGCATATGCTGGGGTTGTGGGCTCAATCCCCAGAGTGGAGCGTGTAGGAGACAGCTAATCAATGATTCTCTCATCATTAATGATTCTATCTCTCTCTCCCTCTCCCTACTTCTCTGAAATATATATATATATACATATATATATATGTAGATTATATATATGAAGAAATTTTCATATATACATATGAAAAAATTATCTAGAAAATATTCATAAAAGATTAAGATATTTGCAAGTCTATGTCTGAGTAGCTACTAAGGACTCCTAAGCAGATGACTGTGCCTGGGAGGGTTTTCTCATGGAATCCTAAGAAAATGTAATGTGTGAAGCAGCTCCGCTTCATAGGGACCAGAATGCTGAGGTGCTTGTGCTTTTTAAAATCTCTTTAATTGGATTTAATTTATGTATGATGTGATGGACGGGAGCCTAGAGTATCAGGTGCAGCTGTAGGATCCTCATATAGCAGTGGTTCTCAACCTTCCTAATGCCATGACCATTTACTACAGTTCCTCATGTTGTGGTGACCCCCAACCATAAAATTATTTTCGTTGCTACTTCATAACTGTAATTTTGCTACTGTTATGAATCGTCATGTAAATATCTGATATGCAGGATGTATTTTCATTGTTACAAATTGAACATAATTAAAGCATAGTGATTAATCACAAAAACAATATGTAATTATATATGTGTTTTCCGATGGTCTTAGGCTACCCCTGTGAAAGGGTCGTTTGACCCCCAAAGGGGTCGCGACCCACAGGTTGAGAACCACTGTCATATAGGAGGGAGGTCCTATCTTTCCCCATCTCCATCTGTCTGTGCCATACCCTAAACTCCCAGTATCTGACTTTTCTTTTCATTCCAGCTGGGGGAAGGGGCCCCGGGAAGTTGGCAGGCTGGCCCCGCCCCCTGGTCAAACCCTGGGTTGAGGGGACAATTTGCATATTACCCTTTTATTATATAGGATTATTTTTTTATCTTTATTGTTGAAAGTATTACATGTCCCCTTTTTTCCCCCATGAACTCCTTCCAGCCTGCACCTGCCCCCCACCCCAGGCTTTCACCACCTAATTGTCCATGTCCATGGGTTATGCATATATATATATATAGATATATATATATAGATATATATACATATACATATATATATATATCACACGTATATGTGAATATATGTGAGATATATATATATATATATATATATATATATATATATATATATACACACACACTAGAGGCCTGGTGCACAAAAATTTGTGCACTCGGGGGGGAGAAGGGGGTCCCTCAGCCCGGCCTGTGCCCTCTTACAATCTGGGACCCCTTGGGAGATAACGACCTGCTGGCTTAGGCCTGCTCCCGGGTGGCAGAGGGCAGGCCCAATCCGTAGGTGCAGCCCCTGGTTGGGCTCAGAGCAGGGCTGATTGGGGAGTTGGGGCACCGCCCCCTGTCACGCACAGAACAGGGCAGATCGGGAGGTTGCGATGCCACCCTCAGTCACGCTCAGGGTAGGGCCGATCGGGGGGAGGGGGGGGGGTTGGAGCACCACCCTGGTCACACTCAAGGCAGGGTCGATGGGGAGGTTGCAGCTCTACCCCATCACACACAGAGCAGGGCCCGTGGGGTGGGGGTTGGGGCGCCGCCCTCTATCACCCGCAGAGCAGGGCCGATCAGGGTGTTGGGGCGCCGCCACTGTCACACTCAGGGCAGGGCCGATGGGGAGGTTATGGCTCTACCCCGTCACACACAGAGCAGGGCCGATCAGGGGGTTGGGGTGCCGCACCCTGTCACACACAGAGCTGCAGGGCGATCAGGGGGTTGGGGAGCTCCCCCCTGTCACTCACAGAGTAGGGCCGTTAGGGGAGTTGGGGCACCGCCTCCTGTCACACACAGAGCAGGGCCGATCAGGGGGTTGGGGAGCTCCCCCCATCAGGCACAGAGCAGGGCTGATCAGGGGGTTGGGGTGCCTTCCCCTGTCGCAAACAGAGCAGGGCGGATAGGGAGGTTGTGGCCCCGCCCCCTATCACACACAGAGCCGCAGGGCGATCAGGGGGTTTGGGCGCTGCCCCCTGTCACACTGATCCTGGTGCCGGGAGGTCTCGCAGCTCCACTGATACCGGTGCTGGGAGGCATATTACCCTTTTACTATATAGGATAGAGGCCTGGTGCACGGGTAGGGGCCGGCTGGTTTGCCCTGAAGGGTGTCCTGGATCAGGGTGGGGGTCCCCACTGGGGTGCCTGGCCAGCCTGGGTGAGGGGATGATGGCTGTTTGCAGCTGGTCACACACCCTTCAGGGTGGGGGTCCCCACTGGGGTGCCTGGCCAGTCTGGGTGAGGGGCTGAGGGCTGTTTTCAGGCTGGCAAGTGACTGAAGCTCCCAACTCCTCCTTTTTTTCTTTTTTTTTATTCTGGGCCAGCTTTAGCTTTGAGGCTTGGCTCCAGCTCTTAGGCCTCCGCTGCTGAAAGCAGGTTTCTGGCCTTTGTTTACCTTCTGTATTTGAAACAATGTTGCAATCCTGCTGGCTGAAGCCCGGCGACTAAAGCAGGTTTCTGGGGTTTTGTTTAGCTTCTATATTTGTAACATAGTTGCTTAGAGTTGCAGCTCAGAGGCCTGCAGCGGCAGGCGGAGAACGTTGGAGTCCTCCGTCACTGAAGCAAGCAAGCTTCATGTTAGTTTCAAGCTGCCTGGCTGCCAGCCGCTATCTTGGCTGGCAGTTAATTTGCATATTGCCCTGATTAGCCAATGGGAAGGGTAGCAGTCGTACACTAATTACCATGTTTCTTTTATTAGATAGGATATGAGGCCCAGTGCATGAAATTCATGCATGGGGGGCAGGGTGGATCCCTCAGCCTGGCCTCTCACAATCCGGGACCCCTCGGGGGATGTTGGGCTTACACCGGCAGTTGGACATACCTCTCATAATCTGGGATGCCGCATGCACCAGTGATCATACTCTTCATATAGGTGAAAGGCATCTTGCTGTTGTATGGACAGCTACATTTTTTTGCCCTGATTATAAAAAGTAGTACATAACGTGATCCTTCTGAGGCAGTAGTACCATTTCCCCCATCTTATTGGTGAAAAAACTGAAGCAGACAGAAGTTAAGTAATTGGCTTTGTTACAGTTATAAGTGTCAGAATCAGGGCTGACCACAAAATATGCAAGCCAGAGTCCATGCATGTCATCACTGTATCACCCTGTTTTTTCAGTGTTAGAATAGCCTTGCCAGGTTTTAATTTTTAAATCTAAGAGACTGTTCCCAATATATAGAGTAGGGTCCCTAGGCCTGGCTGGCAATCAGGGCCATCTGTGAGGTGATGGATGGGTGGGGCGATTGGGAGGGGGCCCCCACTGGCACCCGCCTTGGCTGGAAGTCTGGTGCCACCCACTGGCCAGCCCCGGCCACCCAGTTGCTGCCGCTGGTCACCCCCCTCTCGGGGGGCAGATGCTCAATACAGGAGCTGCCTCCAACCTGTGTTGAGCGTCTGTCCCCTGGTGGTCAGTACGCATCATAGCGACCGGTCATTCCACCAGTCCAGTATCTGACAGTTTTAACTTGGCACTACAGTGAGTTTTCTCTTTCCTCACTTTCTAGATTCAGGCTTAAATTCTTTTGGCAAGCACATTTTTATCTAATCATTTTAGTGTAGTGAAGAGCTAAATTTCCACTGTCTGTAGTCTCTATGTTTTGACTGACACAGTTTTCTACTCTGATTTTTACACACAACAGACCTAATTTATAAATAGTTTCTGTGCAATACTTCTGACCAAGAGAGGCAGTCACTATGGAATATTGAGGGTAAGAAATTTGAAGTCTTTTTTCTTCAAATAATTTTCTACTATAATAATTCTTTACTCCATCTACAAATATGAACAGTGACATTTGGCTCTAAATTTTTTTCAGTCATTTATTTCTCTGCAATTTTCTGTTTATATAATTGGATTTATATTGCATATACTATTTTTGTAACCTGTCCCTTTCCATGTTTATATATATACTAGAGGCCCAATGCACAAAAATCCATGCAAGAGGAGGCCTTCCTTCCCCAGGCTGCTGGCACTGGCTTCCCCCCTCCAGCCACCTGCAGGCACCTGGGACCCAGGCTGGCTTCCCTCTGGCCCCAGCTTCATCAGGAAGGACGTTCAGAATGACGTCCAGAAGATGTCCAGTCTAATTAGTATATTACCCTTTTATTATTATAGATGTGTGTGTGTGTGTGTATATATATATATATATATATATATATATATCTACACTAATAAAAGAGAAAAATGGTAATTGGCGTACGACACTACCCTTTTCATTGGCTAATCAGGGCTATATGTAAATTAACTGCCAACTAAGATTGGCAGTTAACTGCCAACAAGATCGCGGTTAATTTGCATATGTAGGCACAATGCAGGGAGGCGAAAGGGAAAGCAGGAAGAAGCCCCCTGCCACCGACAGTGATCGGAAACCCAGGGGGGAGCTAAGAGCTGGGAGGCAGGGGCCGCCTTTGCCCTGCCCCCCAGCCATGATCGGAGAATCAGGTGCCTTTTCCGCCCTGGCCAGTGATAGCAGGAAATAGGGGTGGAGCCAGAGATGGGAGCTGGGCATGGTCGAAGCTGGCAGTCCCAGGAGCTAGGGGTCCCTTGCCTGGGCCTAAAGCGAAGCCCATGATCGTGGGGCCGCTGCAGCTGGGGGTCCCCGCTGCCCGGGCCGGATGCCTCAGCCAGAGCGTTAGGCCTGGGCAGGGGCGGAGCCTGCAACCGCGGGGAGCTGGGGGTCCCCTGCCCAGGTCTGACACCTCTGCCAGAGGCCTCAGGCCTGGTCAAGGGGCCGATCCGGTGATTGGTGATCGGAGGGTGATGAGGGTCAACTCCTCTGGCCGAGGCATCAGGCCTGGGTGGGGGGTGGAGCCGGGGATTGGAGGGATATGATAGTCCCCTTCCCAGGCCTGAAGCCTGGGTCAGAGGCGTCAGGCTTGGGCAGGGGGTGGAGCAAGCGATCAGAGGGAGATGGGGGTCCCCTGCCCAGGCATGATTCCTGGGCCAGAGGCCTCAGGCCTGGGCGGGGGCCAGAGCCAGTGATCGGGGGGAGATGGGGGTACCCTGTCCAAGCCTGACACCTCTGGTGGAGGCGTCAGGCCTGGGCAAGGGGCCGATCAGGTGATCGGAGGGTGATGGGGGTCTATGCCTCTGGCCGAGGCATCAGGCCTGGGCAAGGGGCAGAGCCAGCAATCGGAGGGGTCTGGGGGTCCCCTGCCCAGGCCTGATGCCTGGGCCAGAGGCATCAGGCCTGGGCTGGGGGCAGAACCAGTGATGGGGGGAAATGAGGGTCCCCTGCCCAGGCCTGACGCCTCTGTCAGAGGGGGTCAACGCCTGAGGGCTCCCAGTATGTGAGATGGGGCAGGCTGGGCTGAGGGACACCCCCACACACACACACCCAGTGCACGAATTTCGTGCACCGGGCCCCTAATATATATATATATATATATATATGCTAACACCATATTCATCCTAATGTGAAATAGTTAGGAGTGGCCTGTCAATATCTCACTGGTAGGAGTTGTCAGGAAAACTTCTCTCTAAAGTTACTTGAAACAAAGCATCAGAAACCAGGCCTTACTGATTAACATGAAAAAATAAAAAAGTTTCCCCTGCCCTAACCGGTTTTGCTCAGTGGATAGACCGTCAGCCTGTGGACTGAAAGGTCCTGGGTTTGATTCCAGTCAAGGGCATGTACCTTAGTTGCGGGCACATCCCCAGTGGGGGGTGTGCAGGAGGCAGCTGATCGATGTTTCTGACTCTCTGTCCCTCTCCCTTCCTCTCTGTAAAAAATCAATAAAATATATTTTTAAAAAAGCTTCCCCTGAATTAAGAATGATAAACATGTCTAGTTCTTGCTTTCTTCTAACAATACTTTTTTTCTCCATGCAGTTGGAAAATAAAAGGAGTGAAGACTGAGAAATGAGTGAATTGATATTCAAAAAATGTAGGTGCCTCTTTGACTTATGATATTTTCAACTTGTGAGTTTATCAGATATAGCACCAGGTAAGTTGAGGAACATTTGTATATATATGTATACACATATAAATGTTATTTTCAACAATTTCTGAGTTTGGTTCTTACTATTAAAAATTCTCTGACTGGGTTATCAGTACAGCAACTATAAATTCACAATTAAAGCAGCATAAATATTTTAAATTTTGATGAATAATTATCAAATATAAAAAGTTGGGAAGACATCTCTTAATAAGATGAATGATGCTCCTTCCCCAATTGCTTCATTTATCTGTGTCTAAACTTCTACTTATTGCTAAAATGAGTGAGGATTCCAGCATCAATCCTAGTCCTATTTTTCATCTTTATAAAAATAGGCATTTAAAAAAAATGATTACATAAGAATGTAAATGAAAATGGAAGGAGTTTTGTTATAGCAATGCCAATCAATTTTTTGGATACTTTATGAGTTATTTTTGATAGTTATCTTTGTTAAAAATTGTTTTTGAAGGGTTATCAGCTGGCAACTCAACTAAATCCCCCAATTTTATTAAGCAAATAATTGTAAATCACTTGACTAGCAAAAGGATTTGTTATCTACTTATAAAGACTTTATTTTACTCAGTTATTAGTAAGTATATAAAAAACTTTTTAAGAGTTATCAATGACTAGTAACTTACACATGTTACTAACTTACAGATTCCTTGTTTTGGTGAGTTAAAAGGAAAAGAAACTAAGAGTGAAATGTCTATAATATTTTAAAATGTGCATTTTAGGATTTTTTCCACCTAAGCTGTTAGTAAATTTAGCCCAAATTAAAGAATTTTTTTGGTTTTCTAAAATGGTTTAGTTCTGCAAAATATATGAGTGCTAGACACTTGAAAAATATATTATCATCTATAATAAACATTCATTTGTTCATTATAGATTTAATAATTGTTCACTTCTTGCCATATTTTCTTAATTTTAAAAAGTGTTTTATAGTAAGAGGCATAATACTTACCCTAAGTATTTCATTAGGTATCTCAAAAAGAGAAAATTTGCTACTTAACCACAAAAACACTTACACCTAAAAATTAATAACTTCTTACTGTAACTTAAAATCTGGTCCATAGCTAACTTTCCCTAATTGTGTCATCTCATGTTTCTATTAAATATCTGGTTGATATCTACAGTCTCAGCCAGATACAACATAACACCAAGTGTATCTCCTTAGTGCATAACCAATGAAGATTTAGAATTAGCCCTGGCTGGGTTCGCTTGGCCTGCAGTCCAAAGGGTCATAGGTTCAATTTCCAGCCATGGGTACATACCTCGCTTGCAGACTGGATCCCCAGGGCATGTGTTTCTCTCTCTTTCTCTCTCCCCTCCCCTCCCACCATCTTCCTTCCCTTCCACTCTGAAAACCAATGGAAAAATATCCTTGTGTGAGGATTAAAAAAAATAAAATAAATTTTTAAAAATAGTTTGTTTCTAATTTTAAAAAAAGATTTAGAATTAAATACAGTGAAGATGAATTAAATTGAACTGATACAATTGATCATTTTAAGTTTGAAAATTATATATAATACTAGAGGCCCAGTGCATGAATTTCGTGCATGGGAGGGGGATCCCTCAGCCCAGCCTGCACCCTCTTGCAATCCAGGACCCCTCTCGCAATCTGGGACTGCTGGCTCCTAACCACCCTGCCTGCCTGCCTGATCCCCCCTAAATACTCTGCCTGCCTGCCTCATCGCCCCTAACCACCTCTGCCTCTGCCCCCCCCACCCCAGCTTCATCTGGAGTGATGTCCGGAAGGTCATTCGGCTGTTCACTCTAATTAGCATATTATGCTTTTATTATTATAGATATGTATAATCACACAGGAACTTCATTTGTTTAATATAATTGTCTCCTTAATTCAGTGTAGCTTTGTCCAGTCTAATAGCACCATGACTCACTTGCCTTCTTTTAAACAGATCTCTCCACTTTTGCACTAACTGCATATCCACTCCCTTAGTCATTAAGCCCACAGGCCATCAGGTTCTGGTCAGCATCAAACTGTCTTAAGAAAAGGCCTTAAGTCTGTTGATTAAGGGAACAGAGATTCCATCAAACTAAAGATAACATCTTAACCTAACTTGTGATTCAGCCCTAGGCCCATGAGAGCAGACTTACCCTACCGACCACACACTCATGAAATCAGACAGAATGATGCCATGGCTGACATCAGGGCCTGATCCAATGATCAACTACTCCCTATCTTAGTCCCAAACAATCAGTAGAGCACATGATCTCAACTCCCTCAGTCACCATGACTAATGATTTTCCCCCTATATAATCTATCTCCTACAGGTGACTGGGGAGCCAGGTCTTATACCACTAACTCACCTGTATCTCCAGGCTTACTGCCAATTGCTTAAATAAGCCTCTACTTTCTTTGCTGCAAATTCCTGTTCATGTTTTATTGGGCTTTAATGAACACAGGCAAACAAGCTGTTACTAAACACAGGTTGGGCTGCCTGCCATGATGAAAGCCAATACTCATGAGAGAGGTCCTGGTTAAAAGGAAAGAGGTATATTCAGGTGCTGGCAAATTGAGAAGATGGCAGACTCCTGTCCAAAAATGATCTTAACATCTCTTGTCAAGCCAGTGACTTTTATAAAAAAAAAAAAAAAGAGGGGACCTAGAGATGTGCAAGCAGTGTTCTAGATGGTTTCATGGTTTCAATAAGGACTTGGCATCACTGTATTGAATTTATCTGCAACAGCTGAATTCTTATGGTTGATCAGCTCCTAATCAGACAGAAACTTGAACTGCTGGTCTCTGTAATGTATTAAAATAGGGTTTCAAGTACCTCTATTAGTAAAAATTTTATTTTTTCTATTTCTACTTCAACAATGCTTGTTAGTACATTTATTTTAGTTAGTAAAATATTATATTTTTTTTATTCTCTGTTAAAAAAACACTTTAGTAGGTAACATACACTGTGCTTTAATAACTTACTTGGCATTGTAGAGAGCAATTTGGCATAGCAGCCTTGAGATTACAATTTAAAATGTGTAACTGAGCAATTCCTTAGTATATTTAATTTAATTAGGATTCACATTCCAAATACATAACAATTTATAATATTGGGTTTATAAATTATAGAAGTGTTTGGGAGAGCTTGTTTTCAGTAGACAATTGAAATACTTAAAAATAAAATGGAATGGATATTTTGAATGTACAAAGACAGTTAAAATGATTACAATATTAAGTGCTTAAAGAATCAAAAAGTAATTGTTGAAATTTATACATTTATAATTAGTCTAATAAAATTTATAAATTTAATTGTCTAAGAAAAAACTCTCTTTTGAATTTATAACTTTAATAAAGTAAGCACTGGATTTGAAAGCAAAGGTGATCCTTGTAATAATCTTTTCACAAAAGCTACTTTAAGGACACAAAAAACATATTAACTTTTTATTAAAAATATTAATCTCATCTTTCCATAGAACACATTGCTAGGTTTCCTAATATGTTGTCAGAAAGATGGAGCTTAAGATTCTTTTTGTCCTGCTGGAATGGCTCAGGTGGTTGAGCCTTGTACCATGCACCATAAGGTGGTAAGTTTGGTTCTTGGTCAAGGTACATACCTGAGTTGCAAGTCCCCAGTTGGGACATGTACAGAAGGAAACTAATGTTCCTCTCTCCATTTCCCTCCCTCTGTCTCTAAAATTAGTATACATACATATATATAAACAATTCTCTTTTTCTCTTGCTTTGATTTTAGAACTTTACCTTCATTTTTCTTCAAAATCTAATTCTGGGTTTTTCGGTGTGAACATGAAAGCCCATGACTTGCTCTTTTACACCTGAATATAATACAAAAGCAATAGGAGAATAAAAGAAACTCTGAGTATTCCATTTTCAGTGAAACTATAAGACATATTTAATCTGCATACTCCAAAATACATGTAAAGTCTTCCAAATCAACTGAGTTTGGCAGAAGCCTCAGGCAAGAAACTCAAGTGGAGAAGCAGATTGAATTTCAAAAGAGCCCAGTGGTGGTAGGTCTCAGAATGTTCCAGCAAAAATATTATCCTAATGGTGGGAGACTCAATCCGAAGTACAAATAACTGCATCCTTCATTCTCAGCCTTTGCCGGGAGCCGGTCCATGCTTGCTGTTTCAAGGGACCTGGCACATATGGCATACTGTTCTTAATATGTTTGCTCACCTTCTTGGCACTATGTGTTTTAACCAAGGTCTCCTCTCTGAGAAAGGTTGTTTCCCCAGGTAGGGATTTTCCCCTGAAGTTAAGGTGGGAATAAAACCTCTTAACTAGTGCCAGGTGGGTAATTAATCACTTTAACTAGGAACAATCATGCTTAAGCTACATAATCTTTACTCCCTGGAATGAAGATAAGAAACGCCCTAACCTTTGTAATAGAGATTGATAGGACTGAATCAACTGGTATAAATACAGATGCAATAAGACAGCAAGAGACAGAACTAGAGACAGAAGAACTTCGCTGGAGAGAACATGGCAAAAGATCCTGGACTGAACCTGACTACAGAAATGGGCAAGAGAACCTGACTAGAACCTGGTGACTGAACCTGGCTGGAGAACCTGGACTGAACCTGGCTGGAGAACCTAGCAAGAGAACATGGACACAGAACCTGGCTGGAGATCTGAAGCAGAACCTCTCTGGAGATCCAGACCAGAACTTGGCTGGAGATCCTGGCTGGAGATCCTGGCTAGGCTGCTGATCAACTGAACGCTGCCTCCATGTCATTCCTTCTTTGCCGACTCCGTCCACACCTTTGGGGACCCCTGGACCCGCTGGGGTTGGACCCCGGCATATGGCGCCCGAACAGGGACCCCTAGGTAAGCACCCCACTCTCGGGATGGATAGGACTCCACCGTAGGAGAGGGTGGATAGTCTTCGCCGACTCTGTCCACACCTTTGGGAACCCCTGGAACAGGATTCCCCTAGGTAAGCCCCCCCCCCCCATTGAGAACCCCCACACTCGGGACGGATAGGACTCCACCAGGGTGCTACAGACCCCCCTATAGAGGA